CTGGGGGCAGGGGGCTGAGGTGAGGGGGATGCAGACTCTGATCTTGGGCTAAAGGATTTGGAGTGAGGGTGGGATCCTGAGCTGATCCAGGGTGCAGGCTCTGAGAGGGAGTTTGGGTGCAGGGGGACTTAGGGCTAGGGCAGGGGTTTCAGGTTCAGGAGGGGGTTCAGGACTGGGGCCAGAGTTTAGAATGGAGGCTCCAGCTGGGCACTGCTTACCACAGGTGGCTTCTGGGTGGTGGTGCGGGGGGCTAAGGCAGGCTCACCCCTACTCTGGCCCTGCACCACTCCCAAAAGCAGCCAGAAAACTTTCTCCATCCCTACCCCACCTCTGCTCTGTGGAAATGGGTACAGGGTGGGGGTAGGTGCACCCTGACATCAGCACCCTCTACTCTTCTTCCTGTGCCCTGCACAGTAAGCAAGAAGCTCCCCCGGGCTGTGGAACAGCTCCAAGGCAGAGGGCAGGAGCAACTCAGCAGTGCTTAGAGGAGCAGATGAAGTGCCGGTTCACAGCCTCCTGATCAAACCAGTCAGGATCACCTGTCAAAGGCACCAAGATCTATCAGTAGATCCCGATTTACTGGTTGGTGACCACTGATTTAGCTGGACTGGCCAATCTGTCATCATTAGATGCCAGCTTGTCTCTGAATCATCAATCCCCTAGTTATACATGGGCAAGTCCACTGCCTCCTAGTGACATGGCTCAAGATGATTTTTGAGGTGTGGTGCAAATGGACTGAAGTAACTTCCCCATTTCTGACCGCACAGCAGAATGGGGAAGAGGTAAGATTCATATCAGAAGAGCAATGGGACTGCTAGGGCTTGCTTAAAAGTCACTTTTCCTACTTTGATGTTTTACGACTACCAATGGCTTATCAGGCCGTGTGATTTAAAGTAAGGACATTAAATTGCAGTTATCTGGCTAACTGTATAGTCGATATAATTTGTATCAACTACACGATTAGTCGATGGAACTGGTCTCCAGCGCTGCAGCGGGGGGAGCTTCAGGAGCCAGCTCAAACCAGGACTAAGCAGTCCCGGCTCATGCCAGCTCCAGGACCTACCCTTACTGCAGCTCTTACTACATTTAAAATGTAGAGGCACAGTGTCCTGGACCAGCGCGAGGCGGGAATGCTTGATCCCAGCTTGCACTGAGTCCAGCAGCCCCTGTTCACAGTGTCCAGGGCTAGCCGTGGCCAGCGGCTGCTACTGGAGCTTAGTGGCAGCCTCCCCTAACCCCCCATGCTGCCTCTGATAGAGGCAGTGGGGAGAGGAGGCCAGCGGCTCTGCAGCGATGGTGCTGGGGGGAACCGACTTTTAAGCTGGCTCCCCACAGCACCGGCTCCTGTCCCCACTCCTTTGCTGCCTCTCATAGAGGCAGCAAGGGGTGGGGGGAAGTGAGTAGTTGATACTCCACTCGACTACCTGATAAACTTAGGCTTATCGGGTAGTTGACTAGTCTACTACTCACTAACATCCCTAATCTAAAGCAAGTGCAAACCATGACTGCCCAGGAGAGAAGGAATCCTTTCCTAGCAGCATGGAACAATGAGATGAATGTCCTTTTTGTAAATTTCCCAACCAAGAAACGTATTTATTAGTAATAAATGACCAGTGGTTATGCTAAGTGCTCTGTACACACAGAGTGACACTTCCTGCTGCCCCACTCAAAAGTTCACAATCTAAGTAGACAAGACAGACAAAAAGTGGCCCTAATGATTGTTAAGCTTCAAAAGGCTATTTCTACAGGCCCTTGGAATTACTATGGTCAGCCAGAGAGTAGCCTCTTGTAAGCATTTGAATATCTTTAAGATACAGTGCCCGATCCTTCACTGATGTAAATAGAAAGAGCTTCATTGAAGTCAATTCTGAGCTCTACCAGCAGTGCCGCTAATCCTTAATATGCTTTCAATATCACTGTCACATCACAAATGTGCTTATTTTCCATCTGTCAATGGACTATCCAAGCAATGCTCAGAGTCCCTCAAGAACCCATGAGCCAGCGGCAACCTTAGATTGTAAAGTCTTCAGGATCGGTCCTGTGTCTTTGTAGGGTTGCCCAGTGCCTGGAAGACTAACCCTAGCCTCTAAGCACTCCCGAAATACAACTAAGAAAGGGCAATAACAATTTCTTCTGTGTGTGGCACAGAGAAGGTGCAACTTAAAATTCTCTTGAACCGTTTTAACTTAATTCTATTTTTAAGTTGCTTTTGGAGGGGAAGGTGCCAAATAAAGGAACTGACCTAGGTAAGGTCTCCATTTTTAGAAGACTATGCGCACCAATTTCACCCCCCACAATGTGAATTCCGTTTCGTGCTTTAAAAAGCGATCGAGCCATGGCACTACTGGGTCTGTCAAATGTGACTCTTTCTGCATGGATGTTAGCGGGCACAGTGGTGCAGCTGAATGGCATTTGGGCCTGTGCCCCTCACTCATGCTAGGCACACAGGACAGTGCATCTCTTGGGTCACTCTTCTAGAGATGACTGACGGTTACTTACACCCTTCTAGTCAAGCATGCATTGTGCAACAGGGGTCTGAGACAAAGCCCTTTATTCTTCCCTTTCCCCCTTCTCTGTCTTCAAAACTTTCTCTCTCTCTCTCTCTCTTTGCACTTCTGCTCCTTTCTCTATTTCTTTCTCTCCATCTCTTTCTCCCCATCTCACCTGTCTCTCCAGATCCTAGCCTACCTCGATGTTTCGCTTGCTCTCTCTCCCCCAGTTTTGGAAGCCATTAGCATGTTAACATCTGCCCCAATACCTGCCACGTTCTCCCTCTCAGCCATCACCTATTGCTTCTCCTCTCCGCAAAGAGTCACAGGGAACACTGGAGTATGTGTCTAGTTATTCTCAGCATGATCTTTGCATGACCCATGCAAATGGCGCCTCAATTAACATGGGTTGTGCGTGTCAGGGCGGGGCGGGGTGAGGGGAGGGAAGAGGCGTGAGAGCTGGCAAAAGCCAGAGGTGGCTAAGCTGCTTTAACCTTTTTGCATCTTTCCCTCTGACTTTGTGTGCGTCCCTCTCTAGCTGTATTTTCTTCCCCTCTCTCCCTCCCTCCCTTCAGTATGTGGGCTGATCACTGCTCAAACTTTTAATTCAGATGGTAATTGGAATAATAATACGGGCAGAGCCCTTCTGGCTCTGTTGCTGCAGCTGGCTTCAGGGAGCTATGAATAGCTCTGAGTCACACACACTGCGCTGGTTTCACTTCAAATCATTTTGTTTTGTTTTCATATCCCCCCATCTCCATCCCCAGGGCTTCAAGGAAAAGAATTCCCCCTCACGTTACCCCAAAATACAAACCAGGCAAAGGTCTGTCAATAAAATCCCATTTTGGGCACCAGAGAATGGGATGCCTAACGAAATCAGTCAATTAATGAAGGCTTGGAGGGCAGATGGGGTTTGCTGGCATCTATTTATAATTATGGAACGAAAAGGCATACGTGCATGTGCAAAAATAGTGCACAGTTGATTGCAGCTTCCTTCCTCCGCTCACCTTCCACCTGTCATGTTTCTTCTCAGATTGTAAGATGTTTGAGGTAGGGGCTCTGTCTTCATTCGTGTTTGTACAGCATGTAGCACAATGGGACCTCCGTGTATTGTCGAGATGCATAAGAACAACACAACACAAAAATAGCCATACGAGGTCAGATCAATGATCCAGCTAGCCCAGTATTCTGTCTTCTAACAATGGCCTGTGCCGGTGCTTCAGAAGGAATGAACACAACAGAGCAATTATTGATTGAGCTCAGTCATCCCATGTCATTCAGTCTCAGCTCCTGGCATTCAGAGGCCTATAGACATCCAAAGCATCCCTGACCATCTTGGCTAATAGCTGTTGATGGACCTGTCCTCCATGAATTTATCTAATTCTTTTTTGAACCCAGTTATAGTTTTGCCCTTCACAGCAGTCCCTAGCAATGAGTTCCACAGGTTGACTATGCAAAAAAGTATTTTCTTTTGTTTTAAATCTGCTGCCTATTCATTGTATTGGGTGTTCTTGCTTTCTTGTGTTATGTGAAGGGGTAAGAATACTTTCACTTTCTCCGTACCATTCATGATTTTACAGACCTCTAGCATATCTCCTCTTAATTGTCCCTTTTCCAAGTCGAACAGTTCCAGACTTTTTAATATCTCCATACCTGGAGGCTGTTCCATACCCTTAATTTTTTTCCCCTCCTCTGCACCTTTTCTATTTCTAAACTATCTTTTTTGAGATTGGGCAAATCAGACTTGCCTGCATTATACAAAGTGGGAGGTGTACCATGGATTTATAAAGTGGCATTATGATATTTACAAACTTATTTTCTATCCCTTTCCTAATAGATCCGAACATTCTGTTAGCTATTTGTCTGTCACTGCACACTAAGCAGATGGTTTCAGAGAACTATCCACAATGACTCCAAGATCTCTTTTTGGAGTGGTAGCAGCTAATTTAGATGCCATCATTTTGTATGTATAACTGGGGTTATATTTTCCGGAGTTAATTTTTTTGCATATCAACATTGAATTTCATCTGCCAGTTTGTCGCCCAGTCACCAAGTTTTATGAGAGATCTTTGTAATTCTTTACCCTCTGCTTTGGATTTAATTATCTTGAGTAGTTTTGTATACTAGCACACTTTGCCACCTTTTTGTTTACTCCTTTTTCCAGTTCATTTATTAAACAAATAATTAAGATGATGGGATCTGAGTTCTATGTGCAGTTCCATAGTTCTATGCCCATTTTTCTGTGATGGTCCAAAGAACCACAGGTCTTTTCCACATGTTCAAATTCTATATCTGTATTTCACCAGCTGGGCAGCTCCAGCAATAGTAGCACTGGCAGGAGTGCTATGTACTATAGGGTTCAGAGTAGGATTAGACAACACAGCGGTAAAAATATCTGTGCCTTTTACACGCTTGTGCTGTCACCACTGCAGTCATAGAGGGTGGTGCACCAGTGGTAAATTACGGTAAGGAAGTTTCCTTGCACAGGCATAGCTGAAGTGCATAGCAAAATGGCAACCAGGAAATCCTTGCTGGCCACAGATCTGTTACATTATTTATCACCCCCAAATGCAAGACCTAGGAGGGAGAGAATTAACTTGGGGGGCTGGAAGAGAGTATGTGAGGGGGGTTTAGGCCGCGGATGAAATCAGGACAAGACAGGGTGGCTTAGTGGTTTAAGTGTAACCCACACATGGAGTCTTTGTTTCCCTCTGGTGGATGGCACATGTGTGAGGTCAGTGGGTCAGCTAAATGTGGGGAGTCAGTCCTGTAGCTGTGGCAATCACATGGCAGCAGACCAGGCTTATAGGTCCTGAAGATCTAGGGTTCATACCCAGTGGATAGCACATATAGGGTGGGTTACAAGAGCGATGCTCAGTGTGGGGCTTGTACTCCTGTAGCCCTCAGAGGCTTAAGATGATCATCTTCAAGCAGCATAGGCTGTGACCCCTACTAGCAGAGCGGAGGTCACTCTTTTTCTCAGAGGCATCAGGTATGTAAATCACCATTATTTTTCCCTCCAGAACCATTGGGTTGAATCCTAGAGTCAGCCCTTCATCCTTTGGAGGTAATTAAACTGGGGCCAGAGGTGTTTTAGATGAGACCTTCCTGTCATAGGCGACTCGTGGTAGCACTTGCGAGGTGCTCTGCCTCCCTTGGCCCTTGTCAAAATCATAATGGGATACCTCCTAATGCCCCCTCCCTGTTCCTCTGTGTGGCCCTCCTTGTACCCCTTCCCCACAGGCACCAGTCCCTATGCTTCCTGCTTCCTCTCTCTCCATGGGCAGTAAACCCCTGGGCACTTTTTGCATGAGCAGACTTGTGCGCCTGTGCCCTCAGGCCAGTGTTTCCCAATTTTATTTGGCCACGGAACCCTTTTAAACTCGAAAGAATGTTGTGGAACCCCTAACAGTCTAATATATGGAGCTGAAAAAGTAGACCACAACTAAGTAAGGATAATAATAAACAAATGCTAAACAAGGTCATGAGATCAACATTTAGTTTAATTGCACATATTTAAAAACAAAAATCACATAATATTATTATTTTTTTTTAATCATAAAATGTTATTGTAATGGAATTTTCTCGCGGAGCCCTTATTTTCACTCACGGAATCCCGGGGTTTCGTGGAACACCATTTGGGAAACACTCTCTCAGGCATTATGCCCTCTCCTTCCCTGTGGTGCAGTGCCTCGCGCCCCAGTTGGCTGCCATCGTCCCACCTGCCCTACAAGAGATGACTGCAGTTCGATGGTTGTGTGTAGCTATAAGGCCGTTAGAAATTAAATGTGTTTTATTTTGTCTCTGGGGAACCATTTGGCTCCTTCTGCTATTTTCTTCTCCTCCTCATGTGTCACGTAGCTGATAAGTGATTTTGGTAAATGATCATATTATCATATAGCCGATAATGCCCATTTTGACACAGTGTATGTTTTTATTAAAATCAGCTCCAAATGCTTCCCCTCGCCTCAATCCTCTCCTCCCATGAACGTCCCTCCTCATCTTTGTGGCCTTATTCCTTTGCCATGATCATCCTCATCTAATGCCTTACAACCAGTCCTGCTGGCCTAAATCCCCATGTTGTGTAGTCTTCAGTGACCTTATCTTCCTGCCATGAGATCCTTCTGCCCTGATCCCTGGGCTGACCTTTGGTTCTGCCCATTAGACATGATCCCCTTTACCTTAAGGCTCCTCCTCTGAATCCTTCCCCAACCTTATTCCCGCTGCCCAGATCCCAGATGGCTTTGCTGTTCTTGTCCTGAGCCTTCGTCAGTTCCTGGGTTCTAACACACACGCGCGCACACAGTCAAGTCTGTTAATGAACAACCCCATGGCATCGAGTACCAGGGTACGGAACGGGGCTATCACAGGTGACCCGGCTTTTCATATTCTTGACAGTTATTTGTATAGTTTAGCCTCATTGGCTGAAATGCTGTGAACGTTGGTCTGGCTGTTTCTCTTTCCCCTGGCTGCGAAGTCACAACATGAAATGCACTTGTCTGATGACATCACAGACCTAGGTGACTTCTGCTCCCTCCATTATTAAAGCCACAGGCACATGCACACATGGCGATGATTTAAGTACAGATACTTCTGTAACCCACTGCTGCACTTCGAATGGTGCTGAGGCTAAGACAGCTGCTCCAGAGGATGGCACAAAAGTGGGCAGCACAGGCAGTCCTGTCAGAGAAGGGCTCTACCCAGTGCTTGAGCTAATTTGCAGACTGCTATTTCATTTGGAGGCCCACAGCCCCTCAAAAATGCCACGACCCCTTCTCTCAGGGACATTGGAGAGGGCCTGTCCACAGTCCCAAAGCCTAGATAACGAGGAGGAGGAGGAACCCATATGCTGTTACCCCCATCTCCCTCCACCTCCTCCAGCCCATACTAAGAGCCCCATCAGTTCAGGGGACCATCACCTGGAAGATCCAGATGGAGCTATTCCATGTTCCTTAAAGGGATTTGTAAAAACGAAGACTCGTGGCATCGCAAAGGAGGAAGAGTTGAAAAATAGAATGTTTGCAAAGAAACTGGCCAGACACAACCTAGGCCTCGAAGATGATTCCTTATCTCCAGAAGCATTGGGCTTGAGCTTGGAATTTCAGGAGCCATTTTACAAAGACCTACCAATGGCTGGTACCTTATCAGAGGATGAGGATGATGACTGGAGTGGGAGTTATCACCACCCTGCTGCTGAAAGAGTCCACAAGTCCAGGTTTGCCTCCATGGGACCGTGTAGTCCACATGATTCTTTATATCACACCACAGCCCAAGAGTTTGAAATTGAGACATTTGCTCCCTGCTGCCATCCTAGCAACTTGTATGTTTCCTGCACAGCTCATGACAAGGCGCCTGAGAATTGTGCTCTTCGGGAAGATTCCATAGGAGACAGGGAGTATCCATCTCTGCAGCTGAGCTACGAAGAGCTCAGAGAGGAGAATTCCATGCTCAGAAGGAAGATCAAAAGTATCCAGAGCTTCTCAGAAAATCAGACACGCTTGGTGAGAAACCTTGAGAGAAGACTGAGAGCCAGCGTGGTCAAAGAGGAGAAAGAGGCTCAGGGTTTAGAATCCATTGTCCAGCAGGCAGAACGGAATCTGCAGTTGATGACCCAGAGGGCCATGAAGGCAGAAAATAAGATTGCAAAGCTGAAGCAGGAAATGTCCCTTCTCCAGGTGGAGTTGGAGAGTTCCAAGACGGAGAATGACACTCTGCGCACAGGCCAATCTGCCAGCCTGGGGGCAGTGAAACAAAATGTAGATGTTGCCTTGCAGAATCTCTGCCGGGTTATAGCCAACGCGCACTTGTCAATCAAACAGCTGGTCTCGGGAGCGGAAATGCTGCATTTTGTGGCTGACCTCCTCAAATCCATAGACAAGATTTCTGAAATCAAAAAGGAAGATGATGAATGAAAAAGCACTTAGGCACATCCACCTGTGAGTGTCTGGCCTGAGATCAAACTGTTCCCAGACAGCGGTCAGGACTGAAAATGTTTGCTGTCATATGCTGAAACATTGCATGTCTTCAAATAGGTGGCCTTTATCCCTTCCAGAAGTACTTTTATTGTAATTAAATATGAATTCCATGTGCTAATGAGGTGTTGGCCGCGGGTGCTCACATGCTGGGAGAATTAACTCTTTGTCCTGCCCTTGTTGGAGGTTTTGTGTCAAGATATTTTGCTGGCTTTGGGCTACAGTAAACCTGAGCCCACATTGGGACAGGGGTTGCACTGGGGCTCTGTACCAGCAGGAGGCCCTGCAGATGTCCTGGCTGACTCAACCAGAGCTCTTTCATGGGAGCTGGGACAGAGTACACCAGAAGGGGTTGTTACTCTTTACCAGACAGAAGTTTACACTCCTACCTGGCTGGGCCTCAGTTCTCCATGTATCTCACCTGATCCTCCTCCCGTTCCCATGCCCCATTGGTGGCTTGGGGAATGCAAAGAACCAAGTTCTGGGCACTTTTGCACTGGGTTACAACAAAGGGAAAGCTCTTTATATCCTCTCAGCACTTGAACTCAGGGTCAGTCATAGTCTGGCCCTTTAGATGAAAAGGGTTCTTCTCCCTATGCGGGGGAGGGGGCAACAGAATTGCCCAGGGGGCAACGTGAGGGAGGCTGGCTCCACACTCCTGGAAGGGGTGGTGCGGGGAAGGCTAGCCGCCTGGCCGGCCCTTGAGTGGTGCTCCAAGCATGCCGCTCTGCATTCCAGCAGTGAGTTAAGGGGTCTGGGGCTCTAGCCACTGCAGCTGCTGCAATAACAGTGACCGGGAACCCTGGGGCCTTTTGAATCACTGTGCCCTGAGGTAGTTGCCCCCATTGGTGGGCCTGTCTCCCTCAAACCTTTCCATCCCGGCACGGAGAAGGATGAGAGGGACTTACTCAGTAACCTTTATGAAGTTGTTAAATATCCAAGTGTGAGCGGAGACAATATCCCTTTCTTCCTGCTACTTCGCGTCAGTGCTGCTTGACTGCGTGTGGAAATGGTTTGATTTCCGGGCCTCCTTGTCCCTGGGCAGAAAAGGAAAGTGCTGAGATTTAGCTGTCACAGTAGCCGTACTCTCTGAAGAAGGGGATGCTCCTCCTCCCACGGCTAGACCTAGCTGTGTTGAGGTGGCAACCCTGACTCTGAATCTCCTGCCTTTGGTGGTTTGCTAAAGAACATACAGCACATACAGTGGTATGGAATTCTTGTCCTTGCTCTGGTGGGACCATCTCCCAGGATGTGAGGGGACTATCACTATCACTCCTTAGCCTTTCCATTGAGCTTAGATTATCAGCTACAGTTCTGCTGCAATTTACGCAACTGCATAATTTCATTTTACACATAGGGACTCCCCTATTTTATAAGAACGTTCTCAACAGTCTTTAATGGTCTCAGCCACCAGGAAAGGGTGTTCGGGCTCCAGTCCCTGATGGAGCTGGGTGGGGTGGCTCTCAAGGGACTGTGCTTATTTTTGACTAGGCAGGCTAAAAGGATAATTATGGGCAATTATTTGTCTTCACCTGGAGCTTGACTAGCCGAGCACCACCCAAGCTCCATTATATCTTCACTGCTGTTCACTCATGGTTCCATTCTGTCCATGTCCTCTGCAAGTGGCTATCTATGGACAGTGATAGAAATGTAGCCGTGGGTCTGGCCCACGAAAGCTCATCACCTAATACACCATTTAGTCTTTAAAGTGCTACATAGTCCTGTTTGTTGTTTCATCCATTGGCAGTCTCAGATACCAAACTGCCTGAGCAACATTTTTATCTGGCTGGGAGACGACTGGTTGCAACTCAGTCCAGCCAAGCCGGAAACAGGAGGAAGTGTTCTGAGGAGCTGACTTGTGATTTGTCTTTGTTCATTATTCAGGGAGTATAGCCATCACTAGTTAGCCAGAAACAGTACCCTTAGAAATGCAGAGACCCATTTTGCAAGAATGATCAGAGGCAGCTATTACTGTCCCTGGCTTATCGGAGAAATCCAGATGTTTTCCTCAGATGTGAACCTTGATCAAGTCATCCCCTAAGGTATGCCTTTCTCATATCCAGGTGAGTCACTGTAATGTGCTCCTACTTGGGTCTTCCTTGAATTTGCCCTGGAGTCTGCAACAGCTGTAGAAGATGGTTGCTGACTTGCTCCTCAGGTTGGGAGCAGGCTGGTTAAGCCTGCACTCTGCAATGGCAGCCCAGAACCCAGAGGGTACAATGCAGGATTAGCTTTGGTCCACAAACCCTTCCTCATCTATGAGTCATCACTCCTTGCAGTATGTCCCATATCAACAGCTCCAGTCAGCCAGGACATGTTGGTTCTTGGCCCTTCAGGTTCTTGGTTCTTTGGTTCAATCAAGACCAGGCCAGGGTCATAGTTTTTTCAGGCCTCTGCACCTCTGCAGCAGGTTGTCTTGCAGAGTCCCTCCTTGGCTGCTTTGGGGAGATTTTGTAAGGCCTGTTTATTACTGCAGCCTTCTCTCTACCTCTGGATACCTCCAGTGAATCACTCTACTTTTTTTGTATCCATTAGCTACTTTTATTCCCTGTTTTTGAGGTGTATTCATCGGGAAGCGTTCCTTCCGGACCAGGTGGGGCATGGTGGGGGGACGTGGTTTGCCGCAAGGCTTCTGTGTTTGTCTGAGCTTCTTTAGCTCTTGTTTTTGGTGTATTCGGTCTGGCTGATCTCTAATGCTCATGTAAACTTTTATGATATTGTGTAGTGCATGATGCTAGGTGCCTTACAAATGTGCTAAATTGCAGGTTCTTGACCTGGGATTTATGATTGACCTTGCCCTTCCCATAGTGCTAACTTGGAGGAGGGATTGTGTTAGATATATACTGGAGGGCTTGGGGGCTGTGGTATGGAAAAGGTGAGTCCTGGGAACTGCTGGGCTGTCTCTAGACTGGCCAGTTTTTCCAGAAAATCAGCCGCTTTTCCGGAAAAACTTGCCAGCTGTCTACACTGGCCACTTGAATTTCTGCAAAAGCACTGACTTCCTACTGCAAGAAATCAGTGCTTCTTGTGGAAATACTACTCTGCTCCTGTTCAGGCAAAAGTCCCTTTTGCGCAAGAGGGCCAGTGTAGACAGCTCAGATTTGTTTCCCGCAAAAAAGTCCCGATTGCGAAAATGGCGATCGGGGCTTTTTTGCGGAAAAGCGCGTCTAGATTGGCACGGACGCTTTTCTTCAAAAAGTGCTTTTGCAGAAAAGTGTCCGTGCCAATCTAGACGCTCTGTTCTGAAAATGCTTTTAATGGAAAACTTTTCCGTTAAAAGCATTTCCGGAAAATCATGCCTATCTAGACGCAGCCCTGTAGTATTTGTATAATGCAGTTCTGCTTACCTGGTTTTACAACTTGTGGGTCAAGACCAAGTCTCGGCATTATAAGGCCTCTCCTAAGTGGTCAGAGACCTGCAATTCCATGCTCTATCTGCTTGGCCAGGGAGTGCTCTTTTTGCTTACCATGTTGATGGGATTTTCCTTTGTTGTTTGTCTCTAAGGCATGTGCTCAGCACCAATCACATGTATGGCTGGTGCCACAGAGCATCAGGGGTGAGCCCCAGCCTCACGCCATCTTGTGTGAGCTCCACTGGTTGAGACGCGCCAGGGACAGCTCCCACTGCATCCCATGATAAAGCGAGCCATGGGCAGCGGCCG